CTCACCATGTCATATTTTTGCCATTTTATTTTCTTTAACTGTTAACTCTTTGGGGGATGACATTCCCCAATGTGATGTAACTGGTCTAATAGAGGCATCGGCCCATCACAACAGTCACTGCGACAACCACTGTGCCTGAAGCTTGGGTTCAGGTGAATATTGCTACTGACTGTTCTAAGACCACCAGGTTCTCATGGGTCGTCTGTAACTTTCCTGTTCTTCAAGCATGTTTCAACACCACTTTCATCAACTTCATGGAATTTGATCTCAGGAAAGATTTTCAATCAAACATTTGCAGTTAGATTATGTTGTATAGGCACCAGGGTCAGACAGTGGGTGAGAAACGGATTCTCTTTACAGGACTCATTGGTCCATTCAAAATTCAGGGGCTCTTTTCAGAGAGATAGAGTCACAAGGAAGTTGACATGGTAAAAAAATAAAAAGGATTCATGCTAGTATTAAACAGTGAGGGTTGCTTAATAGTTAATATTTTTAATAATTGAAGTTGTATAATTATTGAAAAAATTTGACGATAACTTTGGCTTCTCCATACAACTTCATCACCTCAAGGACTCGGATGATAAATATTTAATAACAAGGACCTCTGGAATTTTGTTTGTGAGCTAGTTGAATGGACTGCCCCTTCTTACAACCAATGCGTCTTGCCCAAGACAAGCAGGGTACATGTGTACCTTCAACAGATGGCTTCAACAGAAATACTGCCCTTACTTGGAAACAATACGATGACCATGTATGGCTCTGATAGCTTCTGAATGTATTTCCCAGATGAAAACATCCAAATATCAACTTGAATGGTTCAAACCAGAAATCCTGTTTATAAACATTCAGAGCAGGTTCCTTGTTCAGCTGTAGATGTCACCGCCCTGATTCAGATAAATGTGAAGCTTTCCATGCTAATCATGGGACAGAAAACATAGTAGATACATGTTTAGAGGGGCAGAAGCAGATGAATTAATGAATTTCTCCATCCTGTCTTCTTGCTAAGACTTTGGAGTTCAATCTTCGAACTTAGGAGTCAGGGCTACGCTGGTTACAGGTCACTGGGGGTCCCCCACCCCCAATTTTGAGGAGTGACAGCAATTTGTTCATATTCTGGGATACTAATTAACTCGAATTGGTCAAAAGCTTGCCTAGAACAGAAACAGTTCTGAAAAGGAACTTATGAATTCTGCACACTGTGAATTTTTCTTAATTAGCATATTAACATGTTTCAGATATTTGCAATCTTGGGAATAGAAAAGCAAGAGCATCTAAAACTAGCAGTCATTAGCTCTGAAAAGAGCCCAGTGGTAAAAGCTGGTGTTTTGCAGCCAGACAGGTGTGGATGTAAATCTTGGCTCTGCTACTTACTACCTGATCTTGGATAAATCAATCTGGGTGTGCCTCAGTTTTCTCATCCTATATAATAAAAGGCTAATATGCAAATAGACTGAGTGGTGGAACACCAGAACCACCAACCAACCAAACAACCGGTCGCTATGATGTAAGCTGACCACCAGGGGGCATGTGCAGAACATGGTGGGCGTTGGCTGCAGCAGGATGGTGAAGCAGGTGAGCGGGGGCCCCAGACCAAGGTGCGGCGCTGGTCGCTGTCATTGGGGCGAGCATCTGGTAGTTACTGAAAATTCTTTGCTCCCGCGCACCACAGTCCCACCCGGTGCTTGCACCTGCTGCTGGCGCCGGCCCCGCTTACACCCGCTGCCAGCACCAGAGCCGCTGCTAGCACACGCTGCTGGTGCCCGGCACTGGTCCAGATCACTCGGCGCATCAGTGGGTGCTAGTGGTGGCTGCTGGCCCTGAGGGCTTCTCCACCTCCCCCTGCTCCTGAGGGGCGATCGGGGCAGCAGCCGCCGCTCGCACCTGCTGATGGCCCTGCTTGCATCCGCTGCTGGTGCTGGCCCCAATTGTTCCATGGTGCCAGCAGCGGGTACGAGCGGGGCTGGCACAGTCAGTGCATGGGAGCGGTGGTGGCAGTGGGAGCAGGTCTGCCAGTAGACAGGGACCCAGGGGTCGCAGCAGGAGGGGCCGGGTGGGGGCGCATAGGATGAGCCAAGACCTGCCCCTATGCCTACTGCAGCCTCGCGGCCACAGTTCCTTTCAAGGTGCATAAATTCGTGCAGTGGGCCCCTAGTCTGTAAAATAGTAGTAGCTACTTCATAGGATTGTTGTAGTAAATACAAGATGCTCTCAAGACCTAACACATAATGAATGTCCAATAATTATTATGAATCTGACCCAGTGGTAGATGATATGTCTTTTTTCCCCTACCAGGCCATTATTCCTTGTGGTCACACCCTTTGGGTTTCCGTTGAGTAACCACTTCTTCTCTACTCATAGTTGTGTGGTAGGCAGCTAGACAGACATGAGCAGAGCAAGGACGATGGGACAGGTACAGAAGGTCACCAGGGTGGAAAGCCCCAGGTGCCTAGCAAGGGGGAAAACAAGGACCTCGCCCCCAGGGTGACCTTTCCTCCCCTATCATATAGCTGGTTATGTAGTTTAAACCCCTGACCTTTGATATTGCTGATCATTCAGTTTGGACCCTCTCCTGACCTTTCCTCCCCTGTCACATAGCTAGTCTGTGTGTGTGTCTGTGTTCTAGTTTCCTCTTTTTATGAGGATGCCGGTCACACTGGACTAGTGCCCACCTATATAACCCCATTTAACCTTAATTACCCTTTAAAGACCCTATCTCCAAATACAGTCACATTCTGAGGCGCTAGGGTTATTAGGTCTTCAACATATGAGTTTGAGGGAGACACAATTCAGTCCATAATAACTTATGACCCAGATTTAGCCCAAACATTCATCTTCCCCCAAAGTGATTAATTCAATCCTAGACTTTTTTTAAAAACTTAAGTACATAGAATGTTTTCATCTACAAGATTGTGTGTTGCAAAGATAATGTAGGATGGAGCTTCTGGGGTCAACATGTGGAAAAGCCAGTAGAGAAGAAAACACAGCAGAGAGGTGGAAAGGGAGAGACTGAGTCCTGGTGTCACCAGCTGAGTCCCTTGATCCAGCTGAGCCTAAAGCTCACATCGACAGTTCACTCATATACTCCACTAAACATCTCTTTTGTGGCTTGAGCCAGTTTGAATTGGTAGCTGTCACTTGCAACCAAAGAAGTCTTGACTAGTGTAGCCTCTACTTAATTAGTAAGGAGCTTGTAGGTCCCAGAGAAATAGAAAGAAATGGAGAGGACTGAGGAACAGGACTGGCAAGTGAAAGGAATGTTTACCAAACAAATTAGGTGGGTAATCATGAGCATATATTACAGGAATCAGGGTGGGTTTAAGAACAGATGTGTATTCCCTAGCTTAGCCTAATATAAGAAAGTTTGACTCTTCAGAGTAGTTAAGTAAGGCAGGGAGTTCTTCACTGAACCATGGGTGTCTCAGAGGCAGCAATGGTGTCTTGTTCAGATGCGATGTATCCCCAGTGCCAACCATGAAATGGGCACTCAAAAAATATCGGTGGACTTGAATGGGCTTACTAAGAAATCTTTTGCATTTTATGATTCAACACAGACATCCTCAAAATAATGAATTGCCACAGCATTATATTTGCAAGTTCCCAGTACACTCACTGTTAAAGAATTACACTGATAATCATACAGTGGCCGAGTATTAATTTTAATGAGATTTAGTAACTCAGAGAGGAAAATGTCACCATTAGCAGACCTATAACTGCCTCTTTCCTTACCTGTAAAATGCATTATAATTCTCTGTTGCAATCTAGAACTGCTTTTCTTGGGATCTATTACAGCCCTTTCAGGAGGGGTCTGGAAGGGAAAAGGGAAGGCTGTCTGTTCACGACAGTGGATAACAGCATAGAGTGGGAAGAGCCTGGCCTTGCTCTCCTTGGATTACTGCACCACTGGAGGAGAGCCTTAAACTTGGGTTTCTATCAAGCTGCTGGTAACCTGCCCATCCTCCCCTCTGGAGAGAGATTACTCCTTAATGTCTCTGATACATGGGGAAGGTGTCTATAGATTATAAGCAAATAACCTCCAAGAAGAGAGGGATCTTTATTATTCTGGAATATCTCTAAGAAGAGAGAGGTTTTCTATCTTTAGTTTGCTATTCAATTGTCCCTAAACAAAACTTGTCAGTGCTCTTTCCTGGGAAGGCCCAGACCATACAGAACTCGAGAAATCTAAGGAGAATTTTCTCCCAACAGAAATGTGTTTAGACAATGATGCCACAGGATGGAAGGAACCTGGATCCCTGAGTCACCAGATGAAGGAAACTCTTTGCCAACCCACATAACACATTACATAAACTGTTACGGTGCTCAGCCATTGAGATATGAGGTCTTGTCTATCGTGGCAGCATGCGTTAATTATCCTAATAAAGATGACTTTAAAGTACATCAAACAAATTATGCTTGTATTAGAAATCAGAGAGCTAGCCAATATATACTAAATTCAAAATGATAAGGATGGGGGTGGGATTTGGGAGAGGGTAGAAGACTATGAAGAGGTCATACTTTACTAGTGACAGAGTAAAAGGAAACAGAATATGAGAGACAAGCCACAGCTGTCCAGGAACACATCCCTCAGTCTCAGCACGTCCAAGTGTCATCAGCCCACCTCGCCCATGAACTCAAATCCACACTGGACTCAAAGCCGTGAATGACTTTCACACCAGTTTGGAGATTTTCAGATCATCTTAAGCTCAATTACAGCTAAACCAATAATATACCCCAAATATCATTATTGGGAAATCACCAAGCAGGCCTGCTAATTGTATTTGCAGCTTCTTCATTATATTAGTAAAGTCATAAATGCAGCTTGCTCTTCCCAGGGGATAACCATTCACAAGGCCAATTTCCTTGGATGCAGCTTTCATATCACAGCAGTTTGGAACTAATGTGTCTCAGGAAATAAACTGTCAGATCAATAACATTTGCAACCAGAGAATATTTGGAGCAAATAGCAAAGCACAGCCTGCAACAGAGACCAACACGATCCTTACCTGACCCTTGGAAGCTGTCGTAACTGGGAAACTTCGGGATTTCCCAAGGGGTCAATTTGGAGATACTGTTCGCATTACCTGGCAAGACACAAAGAAGCCTCATTGCATTATTTTGTGACTCCTTCCTGGGAAGCTCAACATATCATCACTAATCTGAAAAAAAAAGCAAATAACATTTATTAAGCTTCTTCTGGGTTCCAGGCTTGATGCCTTGAGCAGTGCATGCAGAAATAAGCAGTCTTTATGGAAGTCCATAAAGTTCAAATTTGGGATCTGAAACTTCCTAAGGCAAGTTTTGTCACTTCTCTGAGTCTCAATTTCCAAATCTGTACAATGGAAATAATAATACCTACTTTCCAGGGGTGTTTTGATGACTGAAGAGAAAGTATGTAAAGTGCCTAGTTTAGTACATGGTACATAGTAGGTGCTCAAAAATAACAGCTGTTGCTATGACTTTAACCACATCTTTTTAATTAAAGTTAAAAAATGTTCACAAAACAAATCAATGTTTCCCCTCAACTGGGCCATTTAAGGCAAAAAAGTTTACACACCAATCTAAGTTGACCCACATAATCCTTCCACCCAAAGAGAAAAGGCATGTCATTTTGTTTTTCATCAGAAAGAGACTGTCAGCTTCTCTATGTTTTCCTTCTTTTTTTTCTTCAGGACAAGCTCTTGATGTAACCTAGCATTCTATAAGTATTAAATAAAGACCTAAAAGTTAATAAGGAAAGGAGAAAGATACAAAAATATAGCAGAGTAAGAAGTAATTATCAATTCATAGAACTGGGGTTACTTTTGCACCACTTAGGCCTGGGATTGAATTGAATGAGCACTTAGAAACTGTGTGACTCTGGGAAAATAACATAATTTCTCTGAGCTATTGCTTACTCTCTGCGAAATGGCAACACCATCTGCCTCAAAGAGGTAACGTGAAAACTAAATAAAATGATAAACAGTAAAATCTTAATGAATTTTAGTACTCATTCCCCTCTCTTCATCTCCCATCATTATTAGGCTTAAATTAATGCAGAAAATGCGTACTGGGCACTGTGTTGGATACTGGTGATATAGTGGTAAATAAGACCGACCAGGCCACTGTCTTCACAGTCCAGTCCACACTCTGGAGGGGAATAGATAAATTACTCACCCAATTCTACAAATCAATGGAAGAGTACACTTGTGAGAAGTACTAGGAAGAATTAATGAGAGTTTGCTAAGAGGTCCTGGCTGAGGTGTTAAGAAAGGCCTTCATGCCCATTCTGGGTTGTAAGCATATTTCCCAATGGTGAAATACATAAAGTGCCTAGTTTAATGCAAGAGGCCAGATCATGCTGGGCCTTACAGGGTGAGCTACAGGGCCAGAGCACTGCACAAATACAGGAAACACCAAATTCACTGAACATACAGCCACATTGCAGGACCAGCAGCCCTGGTAGACAATATGCAGAAAATAGAAACCACAAGGGACCCAAATAAAACACAAAGTGTAAAGAGAAAGCATTTGGAAGAAAAAATAAATCATGAAACTTCCAAGGGCATCTGTGGTGTAGTAACTGAGGCAGACCAATGTTGCCACCAAGCAGAACTAGAAACGCTGGATTAAAACACAAAAACTCAAAGTGTATGCTGCACTCATGACTTTACTAATATAATGAAGAAGCTGCAAATACAATTAGCAGGCCTGCGTGGTGACTTTCCAGTAATGATGTTTGGAGTCTATTTGAAAGCATTAGGGAGCAGCCAGGACCTGAGATACAAAAATTCTGGAAAGAAGAGTTCAGTGAGGAGAGCCTACCATTGTGCACATTGCTTTTTCCCTCAGGGCACAGATGACTGCTAACCATCAAGAGGGGTGAGAAGCACAGAAGCAGAGCAGAGAGCAGCTGCGAAAAGGCTGGGAGGCCATCAGAGCGGTAGGAAAACTCATAAAGGTGGAAGACCAAAATTAGCATTTTATGAGGTCAAAAGGGCTACGAGTTGAGGGTCCAAAATATCTCCCCAAAAAACAGGAGGTAATGAGAAGTGATCCAAAAACACTGCACCATTTTTCCCCTTATTTATGCTGTATAAGGCAAGTGGCTTAGAATTGAAGCCAAAAACACTGTTGAAAATTGAGTAGTTTTTGGTGTTCTCCTAATACTAGGGCACAAAACTGGATGGAGTTCAGAGCCACCAATTCCTAGGAGATGCTTGGCAAACAGCTCTGGTTCTAATCTGATTCCAAGGAGTAGGGGTGAATTAGAGGCAGACAGAGCATTACAAAAATCGTAATCCAACCGTGGTCAACTTGCTCCCTGAGTGGACAGAGGTGATCTGCCTCTACACATTATTGTCAGCCAGAGGACAAGGAGACTGCTCCCCCTCCCCCCAAAGAAGATATATCATTTAGAACACTATAATTTTTACACAATGTCTGACATTCCATCAAAATTTACCAGGCATACTAAAAGCCTACCCAAAGAAAAAAATTAGCTTAAAAAAACCTGTTTAATATAATTAAGAAAATAGATTTTTTCAACAGAGAACTTAAATCTACAAAACACAGAACCAAACAGAAATATTAGAACCTAAAAACAAACAAACAAACAAAAAACTGAAATGTAAATGTTTACCAGTAGATCAGACACAACTTTTTTTAAAAAAAAGTATTGGTGAAACAAGAGATAAGTCAGTAGGAAATATCCAGACTGAAACTAGAGATAAATGACATGGAAAATCAGAATAGAAAATAAGAAGCCTAAGAGATACCGTACAGTGAAAAAGTTCTAATATATGTATAAATTGGAGGCCCAGAATTAAAGACTACAGAGCGCACAGAAAAAGCAATATTTGGAGAAATCACAACCAAGAAATGTTTGAAACTGAGTAAAAACATCAAGACAGAGGTTGAAGAAGTTTTGAGAACCTCAAGTCGGATAAATACAGAGAAAACCATAGCTAGGTACATCATAGTTAATGAAACCTGAAAACAAATGAAATAGAAAAGCTTCTAAGGGATTATGTCTTCCATTTTTACCATGCGCAATAAAAGTTTGCAGTAATATTTGTAATTTTAAAAAAGAAATAAAAAACTTTTAAAAGCACACAGAGAAAAAGAAAAAAAAACACACCACTAACTTCCTAAAAGCAACTATATGAGAGTTGATATCTCAATAGACCTGATGGAAGCACACAAAAAAAATGAAAGAAATGCTATCCAAGTTCGAATTCTGTACAGACTGAATACAGTGGTGGGGGGAAAGTAGGTTTACAGTTGTAATACAAATAAATAACAAAAATTAATAATACAAGAATAAAGTCTCTTTCAAGTACTCACAACTGTAGACCTACTTTTGCCCACCCTTGTATATCCTTCAAAGATGAAATAAAATAGGTATTTTCAAACAAATTGAAACTGAATTTGTTACTAGCAGTTCCAACTAAACAAATACTAACAGGGGTTCTTTAGGCAAAAAGAAAATGAGTACAGATAAAATGAAGGAAAGATTGAAGAACAACAGAAAAGGCCTGTCAGTAAATCTAAATGAATATTGAAAACAATAGCAATAATTTCTTATGGGATTTTAAGTATATGCAGATTTAAATGAATGATAAAAACACAAAAGGCAGAAGAAAGATAAATTCAGTGTAATAGGCTCTGGATTGTCTGGAAAGTGGTCAGAATATTGATATATATCAGACTCAAGTAAACAAAGAGGTTATGTTTTCATATTGGGCAATTACTAAAAGAAGGTGGAACTGAAAGGTTAATAAAAGAAAAAGTAGTTTAATTTTAAAATTGATTGGCTCAAATTAAGGCAAGAAAGAAGGAAAAATGTGGGGCATATAGAAAAAATTGTAATACTATAGATATAAAACCAAACATATCAGTTATTACATTACATGTAAATAGATTAAACATGCCAATTAATAGACCTAGCTTATCAGACTACAGTAGAATAAAACAATTACATGCTGCTTATGAGATATACCCATAATATGAAGACCTAAAAAAGCAGAAGTAAAAGGATGAAGAAAAAAAAAAAAACACCACCACTAACCAAAAGAAAAGCAGTATAGTTACACTAATTTCAAGCCAAGTAAACTTGAAGGCAAGATGCAAAACTAGATATAAAAAGGAAAATTTCAATACAAAGGTTAATCCATCAGGAAATAACAATTTTATGTTCATATATACATAATAGCATACTTTCAAAATGTACAAATCAAGAAACTAAAAAAAGTAGCCAAATCCAAAATAATATTTTAACAACCTCTTTCAGTAGCTAAAAAAACAAGCAGACACAAAAGTAGTAAGTGCATAAAGACCAACACAACACAATGAATCTGACTTTTTTGACATGAGACCATTAAACAATAGATTGAACACAGCTAAAAAAATTCAAAGGATTAGTGAAACAGGAGATGAGTCCATAGAAACTGCCCAGTGCATCCAAGGACATCACAACACACATGCTTTCAAGTGCCCATGGAACATACCTAAACCCGTGGTCGGGAAACTGCGGCTCGAGAGCCACATGCGGCTCTTTGGCCCCTTGAGTGTGGCTCTTCCTAAACCTTAGGAGTACCCTATTTAAGTTAATAACAATATACCTACCTATATAGTTTAAATTTAAAAAATTTGGCTCTCAAAAGAAATTTCAATTGTTGTACTGCTGATATTTGGCTCTGTTGACTAATGAGTTTGCCGACCACTGACCTAAACCAATGAAACACGAAGTCAAAATAAATTTATTTATTTATTTTTAATATATATTTTATTGATTTTTTACAGAGAGGAAGGGAGAGGGATAGAGAGTTAGAAATATCGATGAGAGAGAAACATCGACCAGCTGCCTCCTGCACACTCCCCACTGGGGATGTGCCCGCAACCAAGGTACACGCCCTTGACCAGAATCGAACCTGGGACCCTTGAGTCCGCAGGCCGACGATCTATCCACTGAGCCAAACTGGTTAGGGCAGTCAAAACAAATTTAAACAAATTCAAGAACTAATATCACTTTAGTATGCATATTCCAACTACAGTG